AAAAAAAAAAAAAAAAGCATTGACTCATGTCACTTTAATTTTGTGTATTTCACTGTACATAAATTATGTTTCAGTAAGATGTATTTTAAAAAATAAATAAAAATACAAAAAAAAAAACCTATATATTTAACAGTGCACATTTCTCTACCTATCCTTAAATTTCTCTGCCTTGTCTGTATTCTAGGTTCAGGTTTAGTGGCCGCATTCTAGGCCTGGCTCTCATCCATCAGTACCTTCTTGATGCTTTCTTCACGAGGCCCTTCTATAAGGCACTCCTGAGACTGTAAGTGTGTTGCAGACCACGGTTCCACCCTGGCCCTACCTGCAGGACAGCTGGCACTGGCCTCTCTGGCACTGTTGGCCATTTTGTCTCTATTTTACCCTCACCATTCCTGTTAGGTTTATGACATTTTACTGTTCTGAATCCTGAGATATCACATTGACTTTTTAATACAATAAAAAGGCATAGGGAAAAACTGTAAATCATAATGTTATGCCATTAATATGAAGCAGTTTATATTATAATAATAATATTATAAAGATTGCATTAAGCTTATTAATTAGAATTTATGTTTGTAACTTAGTTGTTTTAAAACTATTTTCACCAGTTGCCCTGGAAGAAAATCCTGAGATATCACATTGACTTTTTAATACAATAAAAAGGCATAGGGAAAAACTGTAAATCATAATGTTATGCCATGAATATGAAGCTGTTTATATTATAATAATAATATTATAAAGATGGCATTAAGCTATTAATTAGAATTTATCTGTTTGTAACTTAGTTGTTTTAAAACTATTTTCACCAGTTACCCATAAGTCAATAATTATTTCATGTTTTTTTATTATAAATATTTGAATATTTCCTTTCCAAAAAAAGATTATTGAATCAACCAAAAAGTACCATCAGTATTATTGAAAAGTATGAAATTGTTAGAAGTTTACGCTGTTTAGCCAGGAGTGACATAACCACATTTTGGAAAGAGTTCTGAGCAGTTATTTGTTCACTAAGCCTGTCTACCTTTCTCCCTTTGGACTCACCCAGGCCCTGTGATTTGAGTGACTTGGAATATTTGGATGAAGAATTCCACCAAAGCTTGCAGTGGATGAAGGACAACAACATTACAGATATCCTAGACCTCACTTTCACCGTTAATGAAGAGGTTTTTGGCCAGGTTTGTGCAAAGTGGGCTTTGAAAGGGGATTTTGTTTTTATGGTACAAAAGAAGGAATTTCGTTCATTCAACAACAATTCTTTGGAGATTAGTTGCTTTAATAAAGTAGCCCATATTCTCTTCCTTCTTTTTCTTATTATGGACATGGATCTACTTTACGTAGGTTTTCAGAAATCAAATGTGATAAGGGATCAGAAAAGCATTTTGTAAACTGTGCAATACATATATATGTGTAAGGCATTTTTTATCTATGTTACTACAAAGCAAACTTTTTTCATCACTGGCTTCCAAATATCTACTCTTCCAATATGTACATGTCGCAATGCCATTTAATGAGTTAAAACTTTCCGTTTGTATTCCACAACCATTTATATAACATTCAATCTTGTGATCAAATGGGTTACACTTTTTGTCAGAAAATACAAATAGTCTGAGCAAGTTTAACAATTAAAGTTTTGACAACAGCATATACAAGAGACCCCTAAAACCTCTAGTAATTTATACTAGAAGTGTTGTGAGAATTAAGTTAGAATTCTCTATACATCACCTTGTGGCATAATGTCTCAGGCATTTGACTGCTAACCAGAAGACTGGTGGTTCAAACCCACCAGCCACTCCTTGGAAGGAAGACTGGGCGATCTACTTCAGTAGTGATACTGCCTTGGAAACCAAAAGAGGGGTCGCTGTGAGTCAGATCCGACCCGACAGCAGTGAGTTTGGTTTTTTGGTTTTGCATGAATATGGTCCCTGGGTGGAACAGCAGTTTGAGCTTGACTACTACTAAGATTGGTGGTTCAAACCCACCAAGTCGTGTCATGGACGAAAAACCTGGTGATCTGCTTCCACAAAGATAACAGCCATTAAAACCTTTTGGAGAAGTTCTACTCTGCAACACACGGGGTCGCCATGAGTTGAAATCAACTTGACAGCAACAGGCTTGGTGTTTGGCTTTGCATGAATGTAGCCAGTGTGCTCAGTCTGTGGGTAAGAGTTATACACTGAACCCTGCAGACTACCCAGCCCCTTGTTGTGTCCCATTGAGTCATTTCCAACTTATAGTGACACAGTAAAACAGAACAGAACCCAATAGAGGATGCTAAGAGTCCGACTCGACAGCACATAACAACAACAGCAAGAGTCAGAATAGACTGTATGGCAGTGATTTTGGTTTGGTTTTGGGTTTAATCTTTATGGAAACAGGCTGCCACATCTTTCTCATGGAAGCAGCTAATGGATTTGAACCACTGACCTTTCAATTAGCAGCTGACTATCTCAATGAATAATCTTAAACAGGTACTTTTGTATAAACATGCCTCTCTTACATATTTGAGAAAAAACCTATTTCTTCCCACAGTACTTTGTAAGATACACTAAATTACTTAGTAAATTGTATTTAGACAGGTGGGTAGTCATTGTAAAATAAAATAAATTAGATTCCTAACCTCACTCAGTACACTGAAATAAATTTAGAAATGGATGGATCAATAATCTAAATGTAAAGAAAATACATAGAAAGATACTAAAGTAAGCAGTAAGGAACAATGCTGTAAATGTGACACAAAATCTCAAAGTTATAGAAGAAAAGACTGTCACAGTTAATGAAAATTATTTTTTTAATTTTTATTTATTATTTTAAGAGCTTGTTTTACATTCAACGTTACGTGTACATTTCGTTTCACTCCCCATTTACCATGCTCATCCCTAACCCAGCCTCCTCCCCTCCCTACCCAGTAACCCTCCCCATGTGCCCCTCATATCCATGCAATCCTGCACTTTCTCAATTTGAATGTTGGTCCTCTGGTGCCCCATGGTCCATTTCTCTCAGGGATGCATTACCATAGAATATGTGGGTGCGTCATCCTGGGTTGAGTGGTCTGCATGTACATCTTGTAAACTATTGGGCTGGAAGCCAGCCCCTGGGGGTGAGTTCTACCCCAGGCACAGAATGTATTCCAGGGCCTTAGTATTGGGGGCTTCATCTGACTTCATCAGACCAGTAATTATGGTCATTATTGAGTTTTTGGATTTTGTTCCACATTTTTCTTCCCACTATATCCAGGATCTCCAGGTTTGATCCTTTCCTGAGTGGTTGGCATTGGTAGCCAGGGACCATCTAGTTCTTCTGGTCTCAAGGGCCATCATGTCCTAGGGTGGTTGCTTCCAAATGTCCTTGTTTTGGGTTTTTTGGGTTTTTTTTTTTTGCATTCTTCTTCACTTCAGATGCTAGGAGACCATTAGCTACATCTTAGATGGCCACTTGAAAGCTTTTAAGACCCCAGTCTCT